CAAGCGGCAGGCTGGGCCCTGTCTGCTCAGAGGGAGGGTGGGGAAAGGATCTGCGCAGCCGCTGTCCAGCAGAAACCACCTCCTGGTTTGAAGGAGGAAAACAATACTTCCATTTGAGAAAAAGGGTTTTAGAAAAGTATGGGAAAGAGAAGTTATTCCCCAGGTTGTCCCCGCATAGGAAGGTCTCAGAACCCTCATGCGATGGCCATGCCCACAGGAGGCATCAGGATGAGAGCTGATTAACAGGCTAGACTCCACCCCTTCATTCTTAATATCCTTACGCTGACAAGCCATTACGTAACTACCAAAGACCGCCCTTTGTCAACCTGGCTCTTTTACACAACTCTTTAGCCATACATAATTTTAAAAAAAATAAAAGCAAGAGTAAAATCATATTTGTGCCTAACAGGATAAAACTAAAATGCATACAATTAAAAATGTGTCAGCTTCATTTAAACATAATACTCTATAAAGAAGCTAAATTAAAATATTTTATACTTAACAATTACAGTTATGTGAATATCTGCACCATAAACCTAAACATAGTCCACCACTGAAAGTTTCTAAATCTGCCACTTCATGCCTTTATCCTCCTCATTTTGGGTATCCACTTTCTATACTACCCACTTACATCAACCCAGTGCTCTGAGATAAGCATGTTCTTTGACGTGATGAGTCCTTCTTCATTCCAGTTGGAACCTTGTGAGTCTGCATCCATTAGCAAAGTCAAATCAGGAAGGCCATCCATAAAGTCAGCAGCAATATGCACCAGTTCACAAGCTCAAAACTCATCTCTTCAGCTGGTTGGGTTCTGGTCAACTCAATGTGGGCTGCCTCACTTAGCTTCTCCTGGGGTGCCCATCAATTGCTTCACCTTTAGACCATGGGCTCCGTCACTAATTCTCAACAACCCTAGCTTCCTTGGGCTAGGTCATGAACTTTAGACCAGCCAACCAGCTCTCATCTTCTCCTCTGGACCCTGTAAACCAGATCTACGGGTGTCAACGGCCAGATTCAACCTGACTATTGCTTCCTTTCTCCCACTTCCACTCAACAAGTGGATCCAGGTGGTCACCTAGGAAGTATTTCAGGCTTTGACCTGATTCACAGTCTAGACTCCACCTCTTCACGATTACTATCCTCAAATTGGCACTGGATTATGTAACTACTACACCCCCACCCCCCCATCAACGTATCTCATGGAATTATCTGAAACAGGGCACCTTCTGTCAAACCTATCCTGCCCCACAGAGACCATCAGATTATAGTGTGTCTTGAGTCAAAGGAGCTTGGTGGCACAGTGCTTCTTAAACGGCTCAGCTGGCAATTTCTAGGTACCTGGTTTGAACCCTGGTGTTGTTCTGTAATAAAGATGAGGCTGGCTCTCCTCTCTCCTGCAGGGTCCCTGTGAGTCAGAATCAAACCCATGTTGGAGATGTCTTGATTTAAAACCCTGAAGAAGCTTCAAGACCCTAAGCACTTACCACTCTAAGTCCTCTCTGGTCTGGTTCCATTTTGAACTCTGAACTGCTCACTCAGTGCCCCTGGGACTACACCTTAACCCCATGGAGAGAGTAGATGGGGTCATTCAGGGGTGAGTGTCACAGTGGGTGTCTGTTCTCCAGGTGGGAAGGGCACCACAGGGCACGAGAGAGAGCGAGAAAGGGTCAGGATCAAACAATAATCTGGGTGTATGTGTCCGTGAACGTCGGTTTACTAGTGTGTGTCCGTCTCTGACGTGTACTTTACTTTGACACAGAGTGGGAAAGGGAAATGGTGCCAGAGACTGGCAGAGGGGAACCACT